TGTGGGTGCCTGCTGGCTGTGCAGCTGTGGGTGCCTGCTGGCTGTGCTCCCAGAAACCGATGCTTATCTCATCTTCCTGAAGCAACGTTGACTGCCACAGCATTAAGCCAGCGTGGGGTGACACCTGGCAGCTAGAATCCGACATCGTGGTCTCTCATGCCTGTCTTCTCTCACTTTACTTTGGTGGTGTGGAATAGAATATTTGGTCAACTATGTAAAGATGTGTTGCATTTGTTTGTTTTGCAGAATAATTGTTCAATTGTGTAAAGATGTGTTGCTTTTGTTTATCCTGCATTTGTTTATCTATGTAAGTATGTGTTGCTGTTGCACTGTGGCTGCCTTAGGCACCTGATTGGTCTAATAAAAAGCCGAACGGCCAATCGCTAGGCAGAGGAGGGATGGGCAGGGCTGGCGGGCAGAAAAAGAAAAGGGCCAGCTCGCCAGGGTCAACCAGCCAGCCACTGAGGAAGCAGGAAGGAACATGACAGTACAAAGATGAGGTAAATGAGCCTTGGGGCAGCACATAGATTAATAGAAATGGGTTAATTTAAGTTAAAAAAAAGCTAGAAACAACCTAAGCTAAGGCTGAGCCTTCATAATTAATAATAAGTCTCTGTGTCATGATTTGGGGGCTGGTGGTCCGAGAAAGCCTGCTACCCTTCAGCCAGTGGTAGACTGCTCATTCTCAGTCTATGTTCCCCTGTGTGACTTCAGCATCACTGCTGAGGGCCATTTGGACTGTGAGCGGTGTGCTGCTGCGGGTTTCAATACCTCCTTATGTGAATGTGTCTGCTGGTTGTTGCTGAGTAGAAGGGCTGCATTTGGGTGTGCATCTATTTGGTGTCTGGCAAGATTTCCAGTCCTTTCTAATGAAGATGTGCTGATTCACACTGCACAGCATTGTGTGCCCACCAGTTCTGGGTTGTCTTGTGTGGTCACCATTTGTGCCTTCTGATCCCAACTCTTTGGCCACATGCTGTATAATAAATACTGCCATTTCTTAACCAATCTTCAGGATCTTCTTATTGGATCAATTTCACTGAAAAGGGAGTAGAGATTGATTAAATTAGTATAGTTGTAGGTAGTGATTAAGAAATAAAATGTTATAACTCATTAAATTTTTTTTATGTGTATGGGTGCTTTGTCTGCATCTGTGTGTGTGTACCACATGTGTGACTGTTGTTCACAGAGACCAGAAGAGGGTGTCCAATCCCCTGGAACTAGAGTTGCCAGTGGTTCTAAGTTATCGTGCAGGTTCTGGAAGTAGAACCTGGGTCCTGTGGAAGAGCAGCCAGTGCTCTTAACCCTTGAACCATTTCTCTAGCCCCTGGCAGCTCATTTTGACTGAGCTCTCGCTATATTTTTCCAGATAATATTCTAAGTGATTTACGTATGTTAATTTAGTCCTTATAATAATGCTATGTGGGCAGGCACTGTTATAATTCACAGTTTACAGATGAAGCCCACGGTGGATGTTAAACAGTTGCTGAGGTCAGGCAGTAAGTGATGGAGATGGAGTTTGCATCTGCGCATCTGGTCCTGCAGCCATGCCTTGCAGTTCCAGTCTCTGGTGTCAGTTAACGTTACAGTAGCTGCAAGCTGTGCAAGTGTGTGTGTTTTGAAGGCAGACTTGAAGCACATTCATAGAGTTCTGCAGTAGTGAGTTGGCATGGCTCTGGCAGACGTCCGTAGAGATGGACTCTCCCACTGATCAGCTAACATACCTGCTCATTACAATCCAGAGTGGTGTTTTGTACTTTCTCTGTGTAATCTTTATTCTTTCTATTCTAGGAATATCGTCCTCTTATTATTAGTAATACCTTCCTGTGGGTTTTATTTGTTTTGTTTTTAGACAAGGTCTCTCTATGTAGCTTTGACTTAGCTTCGGACTCCAGTGTTGCTATGTCATCCAGGCTGGTCTTGAACTCACAGTTTGCATTAGCCTCCACAGTGCTGGGATTAACGGTGTGTGCCACCACACCTGGCCCTGCCTGTGTATTTGTTACTGGGTTTGTACCTCACTGTCTGGCTGGTACTGTATGTAAAAGTTTGTGCTACTGGCTGGCTAAAGCGTGTCATTGCTTTGCCTCAAGTTCTCACTGTCCTGAGTCCACATAAAGGCGCTGTCTGTGTCTCATAATGGTGCTCTGTAGATTTGTGTAAGAATCCTAGAACTGGGAAATATGGCAGAGAGCCTGGGATGACTTGTCGTTCGTAGACTTCCTGTCAGAGCACACGTCCTTAGCCTGATTTGGGATGTCCTTGGTGTCTGACTGTATAATGCTAGTAACACAAGGATGGTAGAAATAGCGGTCTTTGGGAGCCTGTGTGTGATTCACACACTGGGTTGATGCCTTGCATGTATTAGGCAACCCGCAGCTCCCTGAGATACAGATTTAATTCCCACTACTCTGGTGAGGCTTATGAAGCTAACTCTGTTACTTAGCTGCCTAAGTCTATGTGTCTGAGAAAGCTAGAGCGGAAGAACAGTTTTTAACTTCCCATCCTTTGATGAATAAACTAAAAGTTCTAGCAATTGTTTTAATATTTTAAGTAGTTAAGCATTTCAGTGTTTATCATCTGACATGATTTAAGTGACTTATGAAAAACTGTCCATTCTTCTTGCTCTCTTCTCCCCCTGCCTCTTACTTTTTGAGATATGGGGTCTTGCTGTGTAGCCCAGGTTGTACAGTCTTCCTTCCTCTGTCTCCCAAGGACTGTGATCGTAAGAGTGTATACCATGCCTGGCTCTGTCCATTTCTTTCTCTGTAGGTACCTAATTTACGTGTTTGGCTTTCTTTCTTTCTTTCTTTCTTTCTTTCTTTCTTTCTTTCTTTTTTTTACAGCCTTTTGATGAAGATTTTTTAAAAAATAATAATAACCAACAAAACCACCTCATTTTTGTAGTTTTTCCAGTGACATCAGGACCAAGTCTTCCAAAAACACATATTTGCCAAATTGTCTTAATAGAATACAAACAACGATTCTTCTTTGGTCGTTCTCTGGTTATTTAGAAGGCATTGGTACCAGATTTGTTTCCTTTGCACAGATGCATTTCAGAACAATGAGCAGCTGTTAAGGCTGTGTGGTTATCAACAGGATGTTCCTCGTTCTCCAGTCTATAAAGACTTAATGGCTCGATTCCGAAATTCCATCCTAGGAACAGAGTTGGAACTGTGCCTGGAAGAGTTTACTTTCTAATGCTTGAACTGGTGTTGGGAATGCTTAATTTTATTATCTATATGAATAATTAGTTGGGAAATTGAAAATGTTTGGCTTGTCATTAAGCACTCAATCTAGTTCCTAAAGAATAATTAATGCTTCCTAAGAGCTGTTATGTGAAAGTGTCAAAAACAAGATGGGTTTGAGAACGTGTGGCCAGCAGCCTTATCCCGAGCATGTGAAGTTGTAGTGAGGATTACCATTTAGTTGCTTTCTTTGTTGGAGAGGGAAGGAGCATAATGCACGGTTGGGGGTGGCAACTTACCTCTGCCAGGACAGTTACTCTCCAGTTGTTCAATGCCTCTGTGTTAGACACAGATTCTGTGTAAGTGAGCAGAGGCGTGCAGACAGGAGCAGTTGAAACATGCTTCTCCACGGATCCCTGTGCATTTCCTTAATTGGGTTATGTTTTTAGACCAGTATCTATTGGGACGTGAACCTGCCCTATTGATCCCTTCAGAAGGACCCCAGAGCCTTACTTCTGTTCAGGGTCAGCCCTTTGCAGACTGGAGTTTGAGCTCCATGAATGACTGCTTATGTGTATGTGAAAATCTTACACATGAATATGTGCACATCCTTATACCTCATACACAGATAATCCATAAATATATACACCTGTGTATTCATTCCCATTTATGATCTTGGTTTGTGGGCCCGATTTTGATTCTAACTGCGTTAAGTTTGTTGGGACTTCCTCCTATTATGTGGTGATGAGGTGAGCCGTAGATGGAGGTGCAGCTTGGTGGGAAAGGGTTAAACTCAATGCATTTTTTTTTTTTTATCCATTTGCTCCTTTTCACCAGCCAGTCATCAGAGTCTAGTTATCTAATACTCAGACATCTTTCTAGGTCCAGTGGCATTGCAGAGCGCGGATGGTGGCAGGAGCCAATTTTTATATTGTTGGACGAGACCCTGCTGGCATACCTCATCCGGAGACGGGGAAGGACCTCTATGAGCCAACCCACGGAGCCAAAGTGCTGACAATGGCCCCCGGCCTCATCACCCTGGAAATAGTGCCCTTCCGAGTTGCAGCTTACAACAAGAAGAAGAAGCGGATGGACTACTATGACTCCGAGCAGTAAGTGTCTCACGGCCCCCACTGAGCCGCACTGTGTTGTCTGAGCTGTGTCTCCGGGTTCAGCAAATCATCTGGTCCATATCAGTTCTGATGCGAGGCTTTATTGGATCCATCTCAGGAAAAGTCAAGACACCTAACTGTCATTATTCTAGAGTCAGAAGTGAAAGTAAAAATTGGATCCGAGCGGAATGTGGTCATGTCCTCTTTGAACTGAAGCACTTGGGAGGCAGAGGCAGATAGAGCTCTATGACTTGAGGCCACCCGGTCTACATAGCGAGTTCCAGGCCAAGCAAACAAGCAGCAACAACAACCTCCCCAACACGTACACACTGGATTCAGAGTTAGTGGTTTGGGGAGTGCTGTTGTGTGATCCTTAGGGGCAGTGTTAATATTTGTATGTCTGTATGACTGCTGTCAACTTTCAGAATAAATGATTGGAGTGCCCGGCCTGGTGGCAGGGGCTGGTAGTCCCAGCTTGTTAGAAAACTGAGGCAGCAGGATTACAAGTTCAAGAATAGATTGGGCAAGGCAGGGAGACCATGTCTCAGAATGAAAAGTAGAGTGGGCTAGGGCTATAGTTCAATGATAGTTTCTTAGCGCACACAAGGCTTTGGCTCACTTTCTGATATTGCCAATACATACATACATAGTAATATTAAGTACATGTCTATTTCTTTTTAACGAACAGGACTATGATATCTGTGCTAGTTTATAGAGGCAGTGTGAAACTCAGTTACAAAGTCTAGTCATGGATGACCTGAATTTGAAATCTTTTCTGTCCATATTTTCCCATCTCTGGAATGATCACAGAGGATGAGGAATTTCCCTCCCCCCAGGTCTTTCTATAGTTTCCCCATGATCTGCAACGCCTAGTTATTTTCTTAAGATAGGGTCTCATTCTGCAGCCCCAGCTGGCCTGGTACTCACTGTGTGGGTCAGTTGACCTTGAACTCAGAGATTCATTTACCTCTGCCTCCTGAGTGCTGGGATTAAAGACATGTGCCATTGGCTGATTTTTTTTTGTATATAATGTATACATAGGAATTGTTTTGTTGACCAACTCTTGGTTTATTTATCTGCTTTTTAGGACAAGTTATAATTCATATTCAGCAGTGAAAACAGATGATCCATGTAGAATATAATCATTTTTAATTTATGTTTTATCAGTTTTAGTTCTACTGACAGCACTGACTGGAAACTGATGGAGGCTTAGACACATCCAGTCTGAGCAATAGTGCTCCTTTTCCATGGCCTTTAACATTGGCTCCGTGCTGAGGAATAATGCTGAGCCTGACCCAGTACCCTCATTTAGTGTGACTCATTTTGTCACAGAGGGGACAGGAATGGAAAAAGAAATCTTATGAAAAATTTAACCACATTCTGTTTCTAAAAGGCATACTAGCACACACCTGCAACCCTAGCACGTGGAAGGTCGAGACAGGAGGAGCAGTGGTTCAGGCTCATCCTTGCTGCCTAGGGAACTGGAGACCAGCCTGGGCTACATGATACCCTGTCTCAAAAAATTAAAACAAAGCAATAAGCAGATAAAGTAAATAAGTAGAAAGGCCATGAAATGACTCAAGAAGTAACGGTGCTTGCCACTAAGTCTGCAGATCTGAGTTCAATCCCTGGAACCCACATAATGGAAAAAGAGATTAGATTCCTTCAAGTTCTCTTCTGATCTCCACATGTGTGCGGACACACAAAGAAATAAAATGTGATTAAAAAAAATTTCAAAGGATATGAAACTTTGAATTCCTTTGAAAAGCTGTTGTTGCCACTGGAGACCGGAAGATGTCTTGGCTTCACCCCTGTTTTCATAGAGCCATTGCACCTTCACTGCGTGATGATCTCTAGCTGAAACCCAGGAGAGCCTCAAAGCCTGTGGGCAAAAAGGTTTTCCTATAGGCACAAGGAAGAATAGAAGGACGCCTAATGGCTGCCAGTGGCCATGTGTGAAGTCAGGATGGGAGCTGTCCCTGCCTGTTTCCTGAAGACTTCAACTGTGATGACTGAGGATACTCTGAACTCCTTACCGTTGTCACACAATTATGTTCCTAACCACGTGGACTTATTCTTTAACCTTTGAGATGTCTGTGTGTGCACATATACATTTGTACATACACATACATGTACGTATAAATTGCCCCATCCTGAAGTATGACTCCAAGGAGATGGGGCAGAGTCTGTTAAAAGAATGTTATCAATTATGATAAACTGTATCACCTCAAAAGGTATGGAATCTAAGTAGAAATGACAAAGGAAAGTGAAAGCAACTTGGGTACAGCCCTGCCCTTTTGTGGTTAAATTTATGTAGCCCACCATCAAAGAACCAGACTTAGTCTGTGGGGAGACCTGCCTGTCACCCCTGCGTCAAGCTCCTGAAGGAGAAAGGCCTCCTACAAACCTGTAAGCCACACACGGTGTCAGAGGTAGGTGCTGGGGGGTGGTACTTTTTGCTTTTTACCCTGAGCGCAACTTATTTAGTTTGTGTACAGTATTCTTGACCTTCATTTTCTGAGTGAGTTACGTAGAGGCAAGGGTGAGCAAGAAGAGAGAAGCAGAGCCATTCTCCCCATCTCTTTGCTTTTACTGTAGAAGAGTTTCCATGTTGTGGCATTAAGAAAACTGAGCAAGGGCCTGCAGAGATAGTTTCGTGGGTGAAGGGCTTGCTGTGCAAACTCGAGAACTGGACTTTGATCCCCAACACCCATGTGGAAAGCCTGGTGTGGTGGAAGCACACAGATGGCTCAGCGTTTTTAAGGACTGGTACTATGGCAAAGGACTTAACTATGGTTCTCAGCGTCTACATCAGGTGGCTCATAACCATCTGTAACTCCAGCTTCAGGGGATGTCTGAGACCTCGGGCTTCTGTAGGCACCTGCATTCCAAGCACATATGCATACACAGATATATAATCACATACATAATTAAAAATAAAAAATAAGAAAAGTTTGGTATGGTGGTATGTTCTTGCAACCTCAGCCTTGGAGGCAGATGCAGTCAGATCCCTTGTGTTCCCTGACCAGCTCTACCTTCTCTTCAGTCAATCCCAGCCCAGCAAGAGTCCTTATCTCAATAAGCAAGGTGGAGGACTCCTGAGGAGTGACATCTGAGTTTGATCTCTGGCCTCTGCAGCCATGGGCACATCCATGTGTGTCTGCACCTACAGCTGCCTGCACATGAGTGTCCCCGACATGACACATCACACACACACACACACACACACACACACACACATGCATACACGCTGCACACACACACAGACAAATGTATGCACATGAAGAAAACCAAGCAAAATAAAGTGCAGTTTTTCTTTCCAGCTCCTGGGCCGATGTGTTTCGTCCCTGCGGTCCCTCTGCGTGGCCAGCTGCTTTCCTCATACTTAGAACCCTAGAACCATCTGTGTGCAGTTGATTAATGTGCTTCTAAGACCCTTGATAACTTTGATGTTTAGCTAAATCTGTGTAGTGCTGCTTTAAGTCTCTCTTTTAATCATTTAAAAGCTAAATAATTACATCATTTCTCATAAGATTTTCCAGAGATGAATTTTATGTTAGTCACATGAGTGGCTCATTTCCTTGGAATTTTCTTTTTTTGGGGGGGGGTTACCAAATCTTAATAAGTTGTAACTCGGGAAGCTTTAAAAATGCCTTAGTTTTAAAATTTTCGGTATTTGTGTTCAAATATAATTAAGTTGATGGGAATATGTTGGAAAGTGATTAAAATTTTGTGGAAGGGCGATCGTCTTTGATGTGCGAGAAAACAGTTATTAATTATGCACATATGAGCCTGTTCATGTTTGATTAATGGACATTACTCAATGCCAGCTTTTATGTAATTAATGATTTTGTAGCTTTTGGTCTGATTGAATGCTAGTGTAAGACAAGGCTTAGGGAGGGAAATTCCCCAAAGACTTCAGGCAAGATAATTATTGATAGGAATTATGATAGAGTCATCTGTTTACATTTAGGAAGTCAAGAAAGCCGTGTGAGCTTTAGAAGTGACTCAGCTGTAGGAGTTCAGTCCCATTGCAGATAGTATCAACGATTAGGATATCTTTTTTTTTCTCTTTTAAAGGGTAAATATTTGTATTCTGGGTAGACAAATGCAAAATTATTTAGATTATAGGGCCAACATGCTCGCTGAAAGGGAAGTACGTGAGCGAAAAGTGCCCATGGGGCTGAGTAAATGAAGTGATGGAAGGGTAGTGTGTCCGCTCTGGCATCTTTGCATCGTAACAGGTTTCTTCCTGTGTTAGTGACAGAGTGTACTTGAACTTGTGTACTGCTAGAGAGCACTCAGCCATTAAAGGTGCCTCTCTCACCATCTAGGGGATACCCATTACCATCTAGAAGAATTCCCTTACCATGTAGAAGATGCCATGGCCCCTTACCATGTAGAAGATGCCCCTTACCATGTAGAAGATGCCATGATCCCTTACCATCTGGAAGATGCCCCCCTTCCATGTGGAAGATGCCCCTTACCATCTGGAAGACACAGTTTGGCTGTTGGCTTTGGAAACAATGACTGTACACCTCGTTCAAGGTGTTTTTGGATCTCTTTGCTTTTGTGTACTTTGACTGGTGAACCTACCTAGTACGATAGTTTTTGAGCTATGACTATTAAACCTGTATGGCAATGCTCCTCTATTACTATCAGTTTTCTGTTATTAAAATAATATTTTTTGTACAAAACAGCACATTTATCCACAGATCATAAAACCAGGTTGCCTGTCCTCCTGCCAGGCCAGGCTCTTGTGTGAAGTCTCTGGAGTGCCCTCCCACGGTGATCCTTGCTAGCAGAATTCATTTTCTTGCTAATGTAGGATTGGGGTCCTTGTCTTCCAGCTGTTGACTGATGATTGCACCCTGCTCCTAGAGGCCCCAGTAAGCCCTTCCCTGCAACATCTCCATTCAGCAATATGGCCTTCTTCTGTTATATGTGATAGAATCATCTGGGACCATGTCCGTGAGAAATGCCTTTGGGATTTGCATTGA